TATGTAGCCCATTTATTGAGAAATATTTATCGCATTATCATTGCTGTAAGTGGTGGGTTACACTCAAGCCTTTCTTTGATGCCTACAATGGACCGTATGAAGACAAACATAGGATATGGACTGCATTACTTCTACTGATAAGAATCATTTATGCAGTTGTAGTTGTTTATTTCAACGAAGCACAAATTGCTGTTCTTATTACAATTATAGCAATACTACTTGGTGTTGTTGCCACAACAAAAGGTCCATATCAGAAGAAATGCAATAATTATCTTGAATACTTTCATTATGTTAATCTTATTTCCTTAGCGGGATTTAGTGATCCAAAAATGAAATTAGAAGTTTCTTATATCTTCAGCTACATCTCCGTCTCTCTCATAGTTTTGGTTTTTCTTTGCATTGTGATCTATCGCTTTACTCTGATGAAAATATGGAAAAAAATTAAGTCTCAAGTTATTATGAGGATGCCACAAACTGCAAGAAAGATTTTGCAGCGTCGAAAATATTTGAGGTCACTGAAGGTTCCTTTTGTAGATGACAAACATGTTGTTACCCATGACATGGAGAATATGGTGATAGTAGAACTGTATGATGAAGATGGCGATTTCGTGACTAGAAGAAGAGAGACACTCATACGTGAAGATTTGATTGACTGATTTGTAATGAACATTTTGCATGCATGCATACAATAATTAGCATAATTATTGGTTGTTTTTAATGGTTTTTGTTACAGTTAATGGTTGTTTTCATTTTTCAATGTTTGACATGATTTTTTTTACAAAATTCCACAGCACGATTGCATTGCAGCAATCAGCATGCATGTGTGGGAGATTGGGAGTGGCAATCAAAAATGGCTGGTATTCTAAGAAAAAAAGATCTACTTCTTACACCAGTACTACTACGTTCTAGCATTATTAGTCGTTCTTATGGAGCTAGTGCAGGGAAGGATGAGAGGGTTAGGATCGGCTGTTCTTCTGGTTTTTGGGGTGACACGTCTGAGTCTGCGCCTCAGTTAGTGAGGTATGGTGATTTGGACTTTCTAATTGCTGACTATCTCTCGGAAATAACAATGTCCCTACTGGCTGGAGCTAAAAGAAAGAAACCAGTAATGCTGCATGATACATGTACTAGAAATCTCCATTTTATTTCATTTCCCAATGCAGATAGCAAGTTTGAGCTGATTCTGATCAAAATTGGATTTTTTCAAAAATTTTTAAATTTACTCAAAAATCAGATAAAACACCCTGTACTGTAGTACAGGGTCATTGGCCAAATTTTGTCAAAAATGACTGAAAGAGAATGCTTAATTTTTATATTTTTTCTGATAGATATACATGTTTTTATGTTGTGTAGCAAGTTTGAGCTGATTCTGATCAAATTTGATTTTTAAAGAATTTTTAAAGTTGCTCCAAAATCAGGCTAAAGTCTCTGTACTGTAGTACAGGGTAATTTCGCCAAACATGACTAGGAGAGAATTCTTAATTTTTTTTGATAGATATACATGTTCTTATGTTATGTAGCAAGTTTGAACTGATTCCGAAAATTTGATTTTTTGCGAATTTTTAAAGTTGCTCCAAAATCAGGCCAAAGTTCCTGTACTATAGTACAGGGCCATTGACCAAATTTTGTCAAAAATGACTAGGAGAGAATTCTCATCTTTTATAATTTTTTCTAATAGATATACATGTTTTTATGTTGAGTAGCAAATTTGAGCTGAATCCGATTAAATTTAGATTTTACACAAATTATTGAAGTTACTCGAAATTTGGCCAAAAGTCCTTGAACTGTACTACATGGTCTCAGGCTAAATTTTATTTAAAAACGACTATGTGAGAATCTCCATTTTATTACATTTTCTATGATGTTTCAGCTCAAGCATTAGCCCTTTTCTCATCACAGGATATGGGCTATACTCCTGATTTCATATCTCACTGTATCAAACCACTCATTCATGACATCAAGAAGCAAGGTAGCCACACCCATTAATTATAAGCAGCCACACCCACCACAGCAGAGTTATTAATAGTTATAATTAGGTATTCGTGTCGTTACCAATGCTGGTGGAATCAATCCCGAAGGGTGTGTTAACGCTATTAAAAACGTCATGTCGTCTGAGGGGGTGGAGCTATCAGTTGCCATGGTAACTGGAGATGACATGATGAAGAACGTGAGTGAAAGTTTAATTTTTCTACAAGTTATTGGTGGTGCAGGTGAAGGAGATTAAGGATAGTGAATATGCTGTTGATATCGAATCAGGTCGGACATTACCCTCATCTGTACTGAGCATGAATGCTTATATTGGGTAAGAGTAAGACCCTTTAATTGATTCTCAGTCAGTGGAGCCTTTATATAATGACATTTTAACTTTTAAAGTTATACTGAGGTGTCCTTTATTTGGAGATCATTTATACAGTAAGGAATGCAATTGGTACACTAGGTACTCTCCATTAAATGGAAGTATCCGCTATAGAGAGTGTCTATTAAGAGAGGCTTTACTGTATTTCATTTATAAAAGAGGTTGAGAGGAAAAGGGATATAATGTTTAATTGCATTATTATACATGGATCATTTAATTTGTAATTATAATTCATATATTACAGGGGTTTCCCCATTGCTGATGCACTGGATAAAGGAGCAGATATTGTCATTACTGGACGTGCCACTGATTCAGCACTAGCCCTTGGACCACTGATACACAAAGCATGTGAACATAATAAGTGATAATAATAATTGATTTTTTATTTTTAAAATTCTAGTTTGGTTGGAAGAGAACTGATTATGATTTGCTATCATTAGGAAGGTTTGTCATATGATAGCATGTGATTAGCATGTGATTATCATATGATTATCATGTGATTAACATGTGATTAGCATGTGATGGTTTGTGTATTTATAGTTTAGCTGGTCATCTCATTGAATGCGGTGCTCAAGTCACTGGTGGCATATGCACTGACTGGGATACTGTACAGGGATGGTAAGCAGAGATTTTTGTGCCTTGGGTGTTTTTAATTAAATTTTCAATTTTAGCTAGATATAAAATATTTAGTAGTTATTTAAACATTTTTCAAAATTTGTAAAAGCTATAATAAATTTAAAATGACTTGTAAATTTCTAAATATTATCGATGCATATAGTTACAGCCGCAATTATTCTATTATTAGGGACAATATTGGATTCCCTATTGTTGATTGTGCAAGTGATGGCTCTTTTCTTGTGACAAAACCTCCCTGCACTGGGGGTGTGGTCAACTTTGGAACTGTAGCAGAACAAGTGAGTGAATGTAAACCCTGTAATATGTGGTGGAATACTGGTCAAACCTGTTTCTATAGCTGGTTTATGAAATAGGAGATCCAACTAGCTACGTTCTTCCGGATGTGACTTGTGACTTCTCAGGTGTGACTTTGAAGGAGATGTCAGGTTTGTTATAACCACGCCCACTTTAACAGTTAATGATTAGCCACACCCACCAGATGGAGTACTTGTTAGTGGAGCTAGAGGGAACCCACCGACTGAGACTTATAAAGTAAAATAATTTTATTTTTTTCTATTTTATTTTTTAATTTTTGGTTTTTTATTAATTTTATTTTTTATTTCTTTTTTAATTTATTTTTATTTTTCTATTTTATTTTTATTACTTTTATTTTTTAAATTT